AAAAAAACTTTGTTATACACTACTAGAGCTTATCCTGTTTCAGAATATATCCATCCTGTTTATTTCTGTACTTTAAGCCGTTCTCGATAAATTATACGGTCAAACATGCAGACCAGATTTTAAGAGTTAATAAATAAAATAAAACTTTATATTTTATTTTTTTATACAATTTTAAAACAATTTTATGAAACAGGTTATGAACATTTTGAAGTATATTGATTGAAAATCAATTAATCGGTTTCATAATTTTAAATAGTTATGATCAATAAGTTAGTTTCGAAAAGAACGAAAGAATACATACCTAGATCATTATTAATACGTATGTAAGGTATGTTAGGGGCAATATGAACACTCAATATCTTTGTGTAAAACCTTGCAATTAAAATTCTGTATTTTAGTTGGTTGTGATTACATAAAAATCCCATGTGCAGTATACTCCTTGATCCTTTAGCTCTAAGATAAAATATTATTAACAGTTTCCATTTAAAATATCCATTTAAGAAAAAAAAAGGTTGAACAATGCATACGAATACCTAATTACGATAAAGAAAACTCAAACGGCATAAAAATGTGTATTTTTATGTTAGTTCAACTAACTAAAAACATAATTCAAATTTCAGTACTCAACGCATAGTGTTGCGTGCCGTCGTTCAATCGTAACGATAGATATCGAAGGTTTTCTGTTACACACTGTATATATGTTAGTGGAAATATGGAATCTGGAATATGTACATATTGGGGATAATACATACATAATATCGGGAAATTTGGTCCGGCCCGAGCATTTTAAACCTCGAATATAAATAAATAATTACAAAGCATAAAGTTTCTTGAAAAACTCGACTTGTTAATCGTAAATATCAATTATTCTTTACATATTGTTGTCTGATTGTATCGATATAGCTATATTACTTTTATGGATTCTATACGAGCAAACAATAGATATAGAATAGAAAAATATAAGTAGTGTAAATAATATATAAATTAAATATATATTTTACTATAATATATTTATAATTGATATTTACGATTAACCAGTAGAGTTTTCGTGCTTTTCAAGAAATTTTATACTTTTTATTTATTTATTTATATTCGAGGTTCAAAATGCTCGAGCCGGACCAAATCGCCCGAACAATATGTACATTGTCCAGTATTCTATATTGCCCTTGGATACAGTGTGTAACTGAAAACACTCAATATCTATGTGTTGAGTACTGCAGTTTGAATTCTGTTTGTTGAATTACATAAGAATATACATTTTTATGCCATTCGAGTTTTCTTCAAAATAATTAGACATGTACATACGTTGTTCAACTTCTTTTTCTCTTAAATGGATCTTTTAGAATCTTTAAATGGAAACTATGCATTTAAGTAGTCGCTGAACTGTATAAGAATTGTGATCTGGAATGCCATCGTGTTGAAGAATAATATTTTCTCTTGGTGCTAAAGGAATATACTGCACATCACATCTTTTAATTAAATTAAAATATTCAGATGTCATAAAAATGTGTATGTTTATGTAATAACAACCTACTTAAATGCAAAACTGAAATTGCAAGGTTTTATACAACGAGAATCATGTTAAACTAAGAAACCAAATTTTAGATTTTCAGTCACGATATTTCAAAATGGTAACAACTTGTTTCATAAAACAATTGTTTTTACACTTAATTTGTTATCAAATATCGAATCAATTAATGACTTCTCGTACGTTGATGTATTCAATAATAATGTTGATAATTTTTTTTTGCTCGTAAAGTTTCATTCACAGTAGTTTTTCATCAACCGTTTATTTTCGGCCTTGACTTCTAAAACTTTGTTTTCTGCGGATATTCGTTTTTGGATCTGTTCATCTAATAAATTCTTATAAATGTTTCGATTCTTAGCAGAGTTATTTTCTGTAAAGGTAAGAACACTTTTATTATCCAATAACTATGATTATTAGATATAATACGCGTCATTCTTTGTCCATCATATCATATAAATTGTTATGTCGTTCACGTCACTTACTCAATGCAGCTAGTTCTTTGTTTTTGATCTTCAAAACCGTATCTAGCGTTGCAAAAATATGAACAATATCATACTTATATCTTATTGTATTTGATCTCAAAGACGCGAATCTTGTTTTAGCTAAATCCAACAATGGCGTGTACCTATACATGAAAATCCAAACGGTATTAAACACTGCACTGTAATGTATAGGCGCTCGCTGTATAACGTTTATAAGAAACCGATTTTGAACCAATAGATTTTTTTGATTTTCTCCTATCGTTGTCAATAAATCAGAAGACACGGAACTCGAACAATGAAATCTAACATTGTTAAACAGTTTAGGCAATGTTAATGAATCGTTTCACTGCGCTGTTTCATCTGACGCATATCCCCTACATAAAGCGACGACGCACCGAATATGTGTTCAAGGGTTAGTCAGTTATAGAATGCTCAGCGTTACAACGTGACGCCTTCTCAATGGTCTTC